CAACTTCCAGTATACTAGTCTGTAATGGGGTTGATGCTGATGGAGGTATTGGGGTAAAAAGTGAGGATAGACAGGTGAAGTCCCAATGTATTGTCTGAGGTATGTGTACCTTGTTACTGTCAGTTATGGCTGTAGGAAAGGAGCGGGCAGGGCATGCCTGGGGAGCCCGGGCCTCCCGGCTTCGTGCTGTGGGGCAGGGTGCAGTGTGTCCTCACAGAGGGGATGTCGCTTTCTTCAGAAACCTGAAAGGCTTGCGTTCTCTCTGTTCTGATAAATAATTCATCATCTCCTCTATTGCTTCCTGGGCCTTGGAAATAAATGTCAGGAAGATTGACTGTCAGGGCCCTAAAATGTTAGTCTTTCAGGATTTTCTGCAATCTTCAGCTGGTGAGAGTAGAGGTTGTGCTGCGGAACGCGAGCACCAGCAGGCTGCCATCTCCAGTCTACACCTCACAGGATCTGTGTGCCCTACTTCTAGCAGTGGCCTGGCTGGGAACGTAATGCTTTCTTAGAAGAGATATTCTAAATCAAAATGTTAAGGTCTGTGGCCAGAATAATAAGCAATTACTACTTTATCAGCCACCTCTAAAGTATAAAGCTCAGTATTCTAATGGATCACTTTTATTAACAGAGATGATAAAATAGAATCTCTTCTGTTTATTTCCTGTTGGAAACCAACACTGGGTGTGTATGTGGGGTTGATCCAGGGCTGCCTAACTCCAAGCCAGCATTGTCTGCACCCCATGCATAGGCTGATTTCCTGTGATGAGTAGAGCTGACCTTCATTGTCCTCCAGACGATAGGTTGTTTTAACATCCGCTGCTCAGACCTGAGGGCTATGGTTCAGAAGGTAAGACTTTTAACTGGGGATCAAGAAGCCCGGGGATCAAGAAGCCCAAATGCCAGTTCTGCATGCTCAGCAGCTGGTTTTGGAAAGGGTGCCAAGCTGCCTGAACTGTCTGGTCTCCTTTTCCTTTTCCACTGGAGAAATTACATTTGCTACACTCATCTAGTGAGTTTTCATGAGGATGAAATGAGATGATAGCTGGGAAAGTGTCTCACAAACTCGACCGATGCACAGATACGCCATTACTTTATTACATTTTTTATTTTGCGAGGTTATTTTTCCATAGTGCTCAGCTTTTACATGAACACTAAAGCCTTGCCTCAGTTCTGTAAGAGGAGCTGTCTCAAGCTGCAGTTTTGCAGCCAGGTGAGCATACACCATGGCTCTGCCCTTTCTTCTGGTTGGAGACTAGGAACTCAAGAAATGATGCAAACAATTGTGTTTGTTCTTTAGTATTATCTATAGATCTAGTTCAGATCCCGTGGGACCCTAGAATTAAAAACCCAGATCTAGCCTCAGGGTTTGTGGTAGAAAGAGAGGAAAAAGGGACACCATCAGGAAGCCAGGGGTATATGATATATACTGTGCTGTGGCCCAAGGCAAGCAATGGTTAGGGAGATCTTGCCCTGCTTCAGTAGCTTGGATACTTCTCTTGGAGGAGGAACTGAGACTTGAACTGAGATACTAGGATGTGAATTGGGGGAAGGGGTCTGATTTCAAGTGAGAGATGATCACAGGCAGGAGGAGTAAAAGAAGTAGATCACCTATGCATGTCTTAAATTGCACTGAACCATGGAGGAGGAGGTAGAGGAAAGAGCAGGGGAACATGTCTGTGTGTGTGTGTGTGTGTGTGTGTGTGTGTGTGTGTCTGCACGCACGCGCGCATGCATGCATGTGTGCTGAGTTGGATCACATGCTAGAGAACCTAGAAAGCCTGGTAAATTTATCCAGATGATTGCAAAGTTCCAGAGCCGGTGAAGACAGTGAGACAAAAGCTGGAGGCAGAGAGAGCTTAGAGCAGAAGGCTGGATGCTGGAGACCCTGTGCAGGTGCGAGCTGCCCAGCCATCCTGAGCAGGGACGGGGTTCACTGCACACAACTGCAGGAGCTCGGCGGCAGGCTGAGTTAGGGGATTCAGGAAGAAGAGTCGCTGGCAGTCCATTCAAATGTGTTGACAAAGAGGTACAGTTTTCTTTGTGCAGTACCAGGATTGTCAACATTTTTGTCAAATGAGGGAAGTAGACAGCAGTTTGCTTCTAGTACTTAAGCTGTTCTGAGTTCATTTATGAATATTTCATTTTAGCTAACTAATTGGTTTGGAGTAGCTGAATTACGGATGTGGAGGATGGAAGATTAGTTTTGTCATCCTTGTGCTTGGGGCCTTCGGAGGCTTTCAGGGCCAGTTTGCTCTTCCTTGACTGCCAGATCCCAAGCTGCATGTCTGTGTCACTTCAGTCCACCTGCATTTACTGCTCATGGGCTTGGGTGCTGAGGGGCAAGGACTGTGCCTTTAAGGAATCTCTACTCTGCGGGCAGATGTCAACTGGTGGCATGTGGCACTGTTCCTGTTGGACAGCCAGTACATCATTGTTCCGTTCCCCCTCCACTTCTGCGTCCTCAAGAGCGTGCTCTGCAGGTGGCTGGGGTACTGCCGTGCTAGGTGTACTGATTCCTTAGATTAAGGATTCTGTTCCCCACTAGTCTGCCATGACTTTGGGAGGTCCTGAAGGCTTTCTCTCTGATCAGCTAGCTATGCACTGTAGTTTCCTTCAAGCCCAATAAATTTCTAGAACTCACAGAACTAGCTGTAGGCAAGGCTCATTGGTAGAACACCAGCCCAGCAAGCACTAGGCCCTGAGTTCAAACTCCATTGGCATGAAGAGTTCACAGGATTACATTTAGGATTATAGTCTAGGATAAGGAAGGGTCTCCATGGAGCTTTGGGGCCCTGTGGAATCTTGGAAGCAACGTCTTCAACGAATGAGAGTATCCAGAGTATTTCTACGCAGGAAGTCAGCCAAGCCTGCCTGTGTGCATCCGGTTGGGACTCAGTGGCATGTTTGTCACTTGCAGCATCTGCTGCCCCAGAGGTTCTGACTGACGCGGCTGCTGCTCACTCCTCTGGAGGGTGGAGCCACTGTGCTGCCTCGCAAAGACCCCATCACAAATCGCCCAGAGGACAAAGACACACCTGCAGGAGGGACATCAGGGCCTGAAGTCACCTCCTAGTCACCCAGACAAGGCTGGGCCTCCCTTTGGGTTGAGATCATTTTTGACTACACAGCCCTATGCTTGGAGAGCATTTCAGAGCTGTGGCCTCTTTCTGTGCGGTAGGCCTTCGTTTCCTTGCTGGGTCAGGGCTTCCATAAGCGAGTCTGTAGCTTGGCTGATGTGACATGAGATGGGCATTTTATAGACTCCGCTACTCCTCTGATACTAATTGTTGCCTTTGAAGGTTGGATGTGTTGTTGTGAAGAATAATAATAGGAGCTTTCATGACTTTGAGGTACAGGCCTTGGCCTCACTCTGTGATTTTATTCCTTCCTCTTGTGTGCTCCCATGCACAGGACTGGTTCTCTGAGAAATGCAGCATCTGTCCTTGGCAGAGCTCAGTGCTGGCAAGGGATCCAAGGGCCTACGGTATCTCTTCTGGGCCTTCACCTTGCCTCCCCAACACGTCTGGTGAGGTGGAGAGATGGCCGAGCTTGTGCTGCTGCCACGGCCAGAGAAGGTTCTGGCTTGGATCCTTCACTAGGACCCACATCCTTGGTATCACGGCTGCATGGAGGCCCTGCTCCAGAGAGGTCCCTGTTTCTGCCCCATTCTGGTGCCTGGACTCCCTGAGTTCTTGGGGACCCTGTGCCAAGTAGATTTCTTGTCCAAAGTGTTTAGGGTCACCTTTCTCTTCTCTGCCTCTGTGGCTTTCCGCAGAGACTTGGATGTGCCCGTGACCCTCTGAATTAAAGGACCTACTTGGTGATGCAGTGGATAGTCACTTGTGCTTTGCGGTGTAGTCACAGCTTTAGAGAGAGCAGGAAGGGCCCCAGGCTGAATGTGCACCGGGGATGGTGCCTGTCCCAGGACTCCTGCCTCTACCCGGATGCTATGCCAGGACAGCCCTCTTAGGCAAGTTGTGTCCCCTAAACCACCCCACTCCGTCTTCGCGCAGCTGTACATGAGGCTCTGCTCCCAGACCCCCTCCCCTCCTCCACTCCCCTCTTCATTCTGGAGCTGCTAAGGACGAGAAATGCCTCTGCAGGTGGTTTGAAACTGGTTCTCTTGAAGCTCTGATTGGGCCCTTTCAAATCAGTAGGTCTCCAGGAAACTTGCAAAGTATCCTTACTGTCTTTTGCCCTATCATTTGTGGCTTTAGGTTGTAATTACTTTTTTGTTGTTGTTGTGACAGCTTGACTCCTTGAAATAATCTGAATAGTTGTGTAACTCATTAGGGACATGACAAGCTAAGCAGCTGTGAGTCGTTTTGCAGAGTCCTGAAGCAGTTTTTGAGGACTAGGTAAATGGAGATGATGGTTAATGAAGGGCAGGGTTTGTGGACTGGAGGACAATACGCCAGCTCATACCTTCTAGCTTTACAGTAAGAGTGTGTGCAGAGGTTCTGATCAGCTCACAGTCTTGAAGCAGAATCAGTAGTGTAGAATCAGTTGCCCATTAGAATACATATATAGTGGTATTAGTGCTAAAAATGTTTGCAGTGAGTCATGTTTGAAACTGTTCTCATCTCTTCATTTTTAATACAATGTGAAGCCCGAACCTCTTTTTTTTTTGTGGGTCATGAGGCTTGAACTCTGGTCCTGGGCACTGTCCCTCAGCTCTTCAGCTCAGGGCTAGCACTCTACCAATTGAGCTACAGCACCACTTGTGGTTTTCTGGTGGTTTATTGGAGATAAAAGTCTCATGGACTTTCCAGGATGGCTTTGAATCACGATGCTCATCTCTCAGCCTCCTGAGTAGTTAGGATGACAGGTGTGAGCCTCCGGTTCCCGGCTGAACCTGTTCTTATACTCTCCCTGTATTCCAGACAAGAGCACTCAGCCCCTGAGAGGAATAATTTGTCTTGGGGCCATTAGAACAGGTTTGAGTGCGTGTCTCGGCCCTCCTGTGACTCCATTGTGCTGTCTTGCTTCCTTTACAGAATTGTTGGTGATGAAGAGGAAGAGAGGCCGGCCGAAGGGGTCCACAAAGAAGCACAGTGCTGAGGAGGAGCAAGCAGAAACAGTCGTGAGCCCAAGTGAGGATGGGCCACTGGCTGCGGCGGAGGCGAGCGGCCTCAGCCCCCGCAGCCTGGAGTGCAGCAAGTGCAGCCGCAGGTTCTCCAACACGCGCCAGCTGCGCAAGCACATCTGCATCATTGTGCTGAACTTGGGGGAGGAGGAAGGAGATGCAGGTGAGAGCTGCCAGGGCTGCCCATGCGAGCCATGCGCTGTGCTTACGATATCCACGGCCCCCAGGGAGGACCGACTGGCCATTAGAGGCTGACGACTGGACGGTAGCATGTGCTCTTGCAGAAAGTGAAGACTATCACATACATTTTCTGGATAAGTTCCTGGTCAGCCTTAAGCAATAGAGCATCTGCTAAAAGGGTTTGAGGGGGGTAGCCCTGGGTAGGGAGTGAAGTTGCTTCCGTGGAGCTGTGGAGCACATCTGAAGATGAACTTCTTGGGAAGAGGAGCGGGACAGCGGGCTGCACTTGGGGCGTGGGCACCTCCGCTGGGTCCTGTGGTTGATAAGGGGGACTTGGATCATTGTCCACATCTTCTTCAATCTGTACCCTGTGTTCAGGAAGCACTCTGTCCCGTGTTAGGTATGCTGTGTGGGAGCACAGTTTGTAAGACAATTTTTTTTTTTGTTGTTGTTGTCAGTCGTGGGGCTTGAACTCTGGGCCTGGGCGCTGTCCCTGAGCTCTTCAGCTCAAGGCTAGCTCTCTACCATTTGAGCCACAGCGCCACTTCTGAGCACGGGTTGTATAGTGCCATTGTCAGGGTGTGACTCCACTCCAGCCCTTGCTAACTCCCTCTCATTTCAGTTTTCTCATCTGTACCATGGGGATGACAGCAGTGCTGTCTGGCGATAGCTTTGAGAGCTACTGGCCTGTGCAGGGCTTAGGGTAGTCCCTACCGTATCAGAAGCAGCTCGTTGTCCTGGTGGATGCCCCACTTCTGTCACTCTCCCTGTACTCCAGACGAGCACTCAGCCCCTGAAAGAAATAATTTGTCTTGGGGCCATTAGCTAGAAAGGGAACCTGGCCTTTGGTCTCACACCATCCTTCTCTGAACTTTTGTTTGTAAACTCCTTACTCTAAATGTCTCCTTATGGTCAAGCCAGACCCGGGGCGTGCCGAGTCCAGCAGAAAGGATGAATTATTGAACAGTTCATCAACCGATACTTAGAAAATATTGAGGTTGAAGGGGCCTGTTGCCAGACAGATGCTGTTCCACTTGAGACATGTCCCCGGCCCTTTTGGCTTTTCTTGTTTTTCTAATAGGGTCTTGCACTTATGCCTGTGCTCATCTGCGCTTTGTCTTCCTCTTTTGCTGTTCTTGTAGCTGGGATGACAGGCATGTGCCATCAGGGCAGGTGTTCTGATGCTTGAGAGAGTCTCTCAAATGTTTTGCTTTGGCTGGCCTTGAAACATGATCCTTCCTATCTCTGCCTCCCAAGTAACTGCCATTTACCCTTTAGTTTCATTTGTGACTTTTTTTTTTCTTTCACATTTTACTGTCACAATTTCTTGCTCCTTCGATCTTAGCTTATAAATGAGTTTCCATCTCCATAAATAATTGAGAACTAAGTCAATTATTTCTCTATTACTTGCATGCTTCCACTATACTTACATCATTGATTCATATGCAAATTATATTTGTATGAGTTGGGAAATAAGATATTAATATCAGTAAATATAAATATAGCCAAAGGAATTATGTTAAATGTAATTTAGGTGAAATAGCTTAAATCAGGGTGCTCAGTAAAAATAAGTGTGTAGCAGTTAAAAGTCTTGATCCTTCAGGAAAAAAAAACCCTTTGTATTTTGGAGATACTGTAGATTATAGGACATTGCAGAGATAGCACAGAACAGTTACTCCCCCTCCCCTTCCCTCCTCGTCTTATATATTATAGCAGCCCATGATTGACATTGCAAGAGTACAGGTATGGTCCCTGTCACCTGTGCTCCTGTAGATCCTGTCAGCCCCTCTGCTGGTGGGAGACAGGACCAAGGTCACCTACTGATGTCCCTCTCACCTCCCCCGACTCCTGCCTGGAGATCTGGTCTGCAAGTCCATGAGTTTGTCATTTTGAAAATGCCATGTAAATGAATCACACAGTCTGTGATTATTTGAGAGTCACTTAAAACCCCTTGTGTTGAGACTCTTTTCTAATTTGATAATTGAGGAATCTGAAGTCTAGAAATGATGATTATCCCGTCTTCCACTCACTTGCATTGGGGCGGGGCCGGGTCCCATAGCTCCCCATTGCGGTCTCACATTGCGGTCGCACTCGGGCTGCCGTCAGGATTTTCTCTATCCTGGTAAGAAAGGAACGCTCCCGTGAGTGTTTTGAGCGATTGATTGTCTAGTCTGGAGTAATTAGGCAGCGGCGGCAGCGGCGGTGGACAGGCACAGTTTCCCTATGTGATCATGAGCTTCTTTGAGTAGAAAGCCCTGTAGAAAATGACTACGGATTTGAGTGACCTAAACGGACTTTAATTTCTCCAGTACCTGATGGGAAGGTGGGAGTTTTGGGGTACTCTGCCCTTCCCAATGGAAACTTCTCAGATAGATGTGCAGAATGACCTTATAACCCATTGCTGGGGCTGAGGCCCATGTTCCATTCCCTCTTCACCAAGCACAGATTCACACGTCCATTTAGCACATGCTCAGTAAAGAGCAGCTTAGTGACATTTCCAACAACTGACCTCGACTCTAGCTTGTTAAAACGATTAGAAGAAAACAAAGTAAGTGTTTTTTCCCCTCTTCTCTGAACCCTGGCAAGTTAAAATAACACTTTTGATAGGCATTCGACATGTATTTATTTTATGCTGCATTTAAATAGTAAGAGAAACTTGGAGAAGAGATTTTTTTCCCTCCCTGTCCTTCTGTGGAACAGCTGGTGTTTTTGAAAAACATTTGCAGCCTACAGAAAGCAATATGTCAAGTTTGTAAAAGTGGCTTCTCGACCTCCTAAGCTTGTTATTTCGGGTTGTTTTATGCAAGGAGCATTGTAAAATGTCCGCCTACTACTGCAAAGTCCTTTCTCCAGCAGGCCGGGTGTTGGCTTCATGGTGGCATCTAAGAGGTACTCTAAGATGCATTCTTCAGGACACCTTGTCTCCAGTCCTTTCCCAGCTGCTTCCTGCTGAAGTTGGGCTAGTTACATAGCCGCCCTGTGTACACGAGCTGTGTACATGAGCTGCGCTTGGGCACTTGCAGAGGACAAGGTGGCGGGCTCAGTGTCATGCTCTGAATGCTCCTGGTTCACCTTGGTTCACTCCTTGGAAAGGTAGGGGGTGGTACTAGAGGTTTGTTTTTATTGCCTGTAGGTGTGCATTTCCTTCGCTGTACTACTCAGGAGAGCGGAAACCTGGTGTATCCAGGGCACTCAGTGTTGGACACACTTGTAGTGTGGGCATGTGGCCTAGTGCACAGTCCTTTGTGACCTGTTCTCCCCAGCTCTCCCTGCCTGTATACTACTCCCGCCCAGCTGGCTCTGTCCTATTCCTCTTCTGCCCTTCACCGGTCTGTTGGTTCAGCCAGTCAGGGTGATATGGGCCATACCCGTAAAGTGGAGCTCCTTGGATTGCAGGGAACTCATACTCCCCACCCCTCACCACATTCACTTTCTTCTGGGGTTGCATGTCTACTATGGGTCCTCACACAGCGTGGCTTGCTCAGGACCCACCCTAACTGAGTCGTGTCTAAGTTGACTTTTGTTGTGGTGCCAGAGAGGAAGAGACTCTCCCAGAGAGAGACTCACTGACACCTACACTTCTGCCCTCACAGTTTATTGGCCAGGAGGAATCACATGGCCTCATCTGACCTCAGGGGACCCGGGGGTGCAATTCTGTGACATTTCCAAGGTGGGAGAGAACTGGGAATGCTTGGTGGTTATCACTAGTGACTGCCACACGTTTTCTGTCCATCTTCGTGGTTCCAGTGCCAGTGTGTGCTGGCATCCTGCGTGCCCGTGTCAGTGTGGTGTTGTGCAGGTTGACACCTAAGGGCACCCAGACCCTGCCCTGCTGTAAAGATGGCCTTCCGTGGCACCTACCACAGTTTAGAGGCTGCTCCCTTCAGAACTGCCCAGGGCGTTTAAGACCTGGCTGCCGCTGTGCTCTGCCCCTTGACTTCCACCTTGCCCTCAAGGCTCTGCAGTGTTTTCTGAAGGGCCTGGTGTCCCCTGCTCTGTGCACATTGTCCTCTGTGCTCAGAAAGCCCCTCGCCCTTTCCCCTGGGAATATCTCCCACTGTCCTTCATTGATTCTGGCAGGCCCTGAACCAGCTAGACCCTCCATCATACCATGTCACCTGCTCTTTGGAAGACCAGCGCCCTTCCTTTGCCTGCCATCTCATGTGCATTCCCAAAGTTCAGTGTCGTTCCTGCCTTCCCAGATTCCCACAGCACCCTGTCTCTAGCCCTCAGACAGACTTGAGCTGCAGCTCTGAGATGAGTTGGCAGAGCGGCAGGGACGGCGTGCAGTTACTGTAGGCTCTTGCAAAGCCTGAGGTGCGAAGGTCTAGGAGGGGCGCAGGTCTGGGAGGGGCGCTGGATGAGCATGTGCGTGGTAGGGTGACGTGTGAAGCCAGGGCCTCCTGCCCTTCCCAGGCTCTTTCTACATTGGTCCCTGTGGGCGCTGTGCTGCTGGCAGGGGAGAACTGAGAAAGCCTGGGGCGGGAACAGCAGAGCGGTGCCTGTTCAGCATTAGCAGAATTATCCTGGGTCTGGGAAGTTTTCTAAACTGCTGTATTAGCAGTGGGGAGCACATTGGTGGCAGAGTCCCAGAATATAATCCCTTATCAGTCTGCTCTTCTGAAAGCTCTTTTGGGCCTTTTGTTCATATGGCTGATAACGCTTTACTCTCCGGGGCTTTCTGAGATTTAATTAGTTCAGGGGCAATTTAGAATAGGTACTTTTGGATATTAGTGCAATGTTAATTATATACGAATGCATATGAACTAATTTCTACAAACTGATTGCATTTACATTTAACTCTTTACCTGCTTGTTATGAGCTCAACCTGCCTCATGTGAAGGACATGTTACTCTTCACATGTTACTATGAAGAATTCAGAGGTGAGAACTTCAGATGCCCGCTACCAAGGTTGGCTTTCCCAGGATATGTGGGGAGGTCCTGGGCAGGCAGCAGCAAGCTCACCTTTAAGGGAGGAGGAAT